AAGAAAATTTTCATTAAAATATTCATCACTATCTCATCAATGTACACAGATAACTAGTTTTTTCTTGAATTAAATTTTACAAATATTTTTTACTACCACACATTCCAGAACGTGTAGGTAATTCAGTAAGGAACATATAATCGATGCATGTACGATACAAACAGAAAAGAACTTTTCAAAACAACTCATAAAATATTTTCCTCACATCACGAAGTTACAAAGAAAAGTTTGAAAAGTTCTAGAACTTATATATGTACTCGACTTGTATTGAAAATGCAGTGGAATTTATTTCACCTGCGGAAAAAGTAGGAGAAACTGTCTTAAGAAGCTCTCGTTTCCAAGTACCAGCTTTTCAGAAAGTAAAAAAGAAGTTATTGGACATGTACCCGTACAAAACATTTAGCACACGCGGAAGACTTCTGGGCAATTTAGAGTGAAACATTAAAAGGTTGTAGATTTAATTATACAGGCTTGTACGTCTGCTATTTACTTGTACTTTTTATCTATAAATGCCTGAAATTTTTAGATTAAAAACATCTTTACGTAATAATAAATAAAGCAACTAGCAACAAATTGTAACCGTTGTATTTATGAAGAAATTTGGAAGTAATCGCCTAATTGTCTTTTTGAAATTATTGTGTTTTTGTTGAATAAACCACTTGTTACATTTTGTCTATTATCATAGATATTGATACACTTCTATCTCTCATCACTACATAGTATAAAACAAAGTCGCTTTCCCGCTGTCTGTCCCCATGTATGCTTAAATCTTTAATACTACGCAACGGATTTTGATGCGGTTTTTTTTTAAAGATAGAGTGATTCAAGAGGAAGGTTTATATGTACAATACATGCATAATATAGTGGGGAAACACAATTAAACACATTTTTTGCGCTTACATTGCAAACGCTGGCTGAACCCTACGAGATAAATCAAAATAATGTACTACAATATTGTACATCTTAAAACGGTCTACAAAAAAGTCCGCGATGGTCTATCTCTTAGGGATAACCCACAATAACCATTTTTATCCTTTACTTTTTATGAGAAATAATGACTTATTTACGAAGCGATTGTAGGCAATACAGCATTAATTCTTATCCAATTAAGTACCTTAAATACATTGTGCATTTAATATAGATCAATATGGCCCTTTACAGCATGTAATTTAAATGAATATTTTCGAAGATATTACAGATTTAAAATGCAGGGACATAGCGGTTGCGGCGGTACCGGCCGGGAGGCCGGTTTGTATTGTCTAATGACAAAAAAACTGTGAATGTTGTATATAAAGACATTCTGTAGTATATTTAGTATGTTCAGGGGGTATCTTTTGAAGATTTCCCCTTCTCGATAATAATCTAAACAAAACAAAAATATACACATTTAGTATCAGCATTGCATCCGTGCGAAGCTTAGGCGGGTCGCTTTTATACAATAAAACAACCCTTCGCTCAGGTGCTAGCCCCCCCCACCCCCATACGATTTAAATTCTCCCCTCACAGACCCAGAAGTTTAATCAGTCAATATTTATGTTAAAAAAGGTTATCGGGTTTTAGCAAAAAGATCGATCCCTATAATATTCCAAATAGGTTTCCAATCATTTAGAGTTTACTAAATATCAATATTTCAGACTTGACAAGGTTTAGTACAAAACGTTTTTCTCTGTGATGGTAAGTTTTATCGTTTTATATTACACTCCCGGATTCCATTTTTTCATATTTTTATCTCGTACGTGCACGTAAAAAAGAAAACGAGTACTCGCACGCTACAAAAACAAAAAAATATTGCCGTCACGCCAGTCGAGCCATTGTAAACAAACAAGACAAAGAAGGCAAACTATAGGGAAATCCAGTTTTCAGACAACGAACGTAAAATATGCCAGCGGACGCGTTATCGGGTAGAAAAATTCGGTTGTGATGCGAGAGAGCCAATATTATATTCGACCGGATCTAGTACAATGCTATGCTACGCGATGCGATGCGATGCGATGCGATGCGATGGAGCGATGGTGAGATAGCGATATGCCGCTACGGCAATGGTCGCTCGGTTGGCATTACGTTCCCAAAACATATCTCATATTTATCGCCTGGACCGCTGCTTTCTCTGCTTCCCTATTATAGGAACGCCCTGTTCTGGATAATGAATACTTTCCTATGTGTGTTCTGTACTTTTATTCGTTATACAGTTCTGGCACATTGTGCCGCGACAATGGGATTAAACATTCATAACCCGCGGGTGAGTCCACTGGAAATGGAAAAGATTTATGTTATAGCCCATTTATCAGACGCCCAAATTTATTTTTCGCGACGGGCGTCACGATCATCATTTACGTTCCTTTTTTAATATGCGTCGTCGGCGCCGCGACCCGTCCGGACGGATGCATTTATGCACCGAGCGCAAAATTTTGCTGAATTGCTAAAGCGGTAAGGCTGAAACTCCGACAGGGCCGGTGAAAGAGACTGAAGTCGTGTGTGGAGTAAAAGGTAAAGGGAGGGCCTGAGATTAATAATTATAATATTAATACTGTTTACTACTCTGAGAGTTAGTAAAAACCTTTCATCTCTCAATCATTTCACGAGCGCTTCCTTTATGTTTCAATAATTGTACCAATTTGACACAACACACGAAAATCGTTAACACCTTAAGATTCCATGTACTCTTTTTACATAATTATCACTTCTTAAAGCTAAGTAAATCCCATTCATCTCCCAATAATTTCACTAGCGCTTTTTTATGTTTAACTTATTTTTTATATTTTGCCAAAAATAATACCGGAAAGTACTTATTTGACAACGCACCCGAAAACCGTTGACACCACGAGATTCCACGTACTTTTTTACATAATTATCACTTCTTAAAGCTAAGTAAATCTCTTTCATCTCCCAATAATTCCGTGAGCGTTTTTTAAATTTAATTTATTTTATTTATTTTGCCAAAAATAATACCGGAAAGTACTTACTTGACACCTCACTCGAAAACCGTTGACACCATGAGATTCCACGTACTTTTTTACATAATTATCACTTCTTAAAGCTAAGTAAATCCCTTTCATCTCCCGATAATTTCGTGAGCGCTTTTTTATGTTTAACTTATTTTTTATATTTTGCCAAAAATAATACCCGAAAGTACTTATTTGGCACCGCACTCGAAAACCGTTGACACCATGAGATTCCACGTACTTTTTTACATAATTGTCACTTCTTAAAGCTAAGTAAATCCTTTTTATCTCCCAATAATTTCACGAGCGCTTTTTTATGTTTACATTGTTTTATACATTTTAAGAAAAATAATAAGGGAATGCCTTTCTTTGACGCAGTATTTGAAAACCGGTGACACCATGAGATTTGACGTACTTTTTTACATAATTTTCACTCCTTAAAAGCTAAGAAAATTCCTTTCATCTTCCAATAATTTCACTAGCGCTTATTAACTTATTGCATAATTTTAACAAAAATAATTATAGAATAAAGTATTTTTCTCGCCTATTCATTATAATGTCCAGTGTGGAATTCCATACTGGAAATATCGAGTCTGTAGTACACCCATTCGAACTTCTGCGAGGTGCACACTGACCGATGGACTGCCTGGAGAAGAAATTTTCAATCCCTTGAGATAATTTTCTAACTGAAGAACTTCAGCAAATACTCTAGATTTACAACTTTTATAAATTTTTAAATAAGTCTAAATATACTGTTTAATTACGTACTGATTTGTTTTGCATTATTCCGATGGCGAATTAAATTTCCTCTTNATGTACAGAGTACACATAATAGAAATACAGCCTGGTTTGATGAAATTGCTTTTGCCTGTGGCAATCAATACAATTTGATGTTACTCTCTGATGGAACTATAGTGTCAAAGCAGCTTTGAATCAAACAACTCATTATTACCAGAATATTGTAACATAGCGTGATAAATAATAATTAAACAGAGAAAATATTTAATACAGTATGTTATTTACTTTTTTTAAGTAGAAGAAAAAACTTTTTAATTTATTTAGGTATTGTCATATTTAAAAATTCCTACTTTTATTTAAAAAATATTGTTATATCATTATCTTTACAATAGCATAAGATATCTCTTTCATGTAACAGCTTTAAAGGAGTTTAATTCTGACCTTTTGTATTTAATATTTAGCGCCAATAGATACCTGGCGCCACCTACAAGCATCACTCAAAAATACAAACACAAATTTATAGAAAATTATAAATGGCTGTTAATGTCAAAAATCAAGTACTACTTCAGTAGATGGGTAAATAAGTCGTGTGAATCTGGCACCCGATATAAATAGTCATGTGATTTAAGCTTTACCAATAAATTGTTGGTCGTTTGCGGGTTCTGAATATGCTAATTTCATGCTTGTGTGTTTATTAATTCTGCTAAAGAAAACGAAAATTGTTTTTGGTGCAGATAGAAATTAAATGTCAATTTATTCAAAAACTACTTAAGATATGATAATTTAATTGAAGCCAATTGATTGCGTGTCATTTGTGTTTTAAGACTGATCTAAATGGTAAACGAGATTTATCTTCATATTAGTTATTAGTAATAATTGCATATAATACATAGACAACTATTTTTCATTGATATTTCTATTATGCGTGCGCCATTGGTGAATCATAGATAATGATAAGATGATAGTAATACTATTAAAAAATTTATTATTATTTTTAATCATTAGTAATAAATAGTATAAAACTATACTCGCTTACAATAATAGTCCAATCTTCAAACATAAATAACACGCAATCAATTGGCGTCAATTAAATTATCATATCTTCAGTAGTATTTGAATAAATTAACATTTAATTTCCATCTGTACCCGAAACAATTTTCCTTTTTTTTAATAGAACTAATGAACGCACAATTATGATGCTTACATATTTAGAACCCGCAAACGACGCACAATTTATTGCTAAAGTTTGAATCAGTGGATTATGTATATCGGGTGCCAGTTTCACACAATTGGTTAAATCGTGTCAACTAGTGTCATAGATTAGAGTAGTATCTATCATTTGTGTAATATCGGTTATTAACCTAAGATTTTTTAGATGTGTTAATCGAAAATAAAACAAATATTTTGAATTAATTTTATTGTTAAGAAATAGTTTTGAGCATAACTCATTCATTTATCGCCTCTGTCAAGTTTTTGATTGATGTTCTGTGACAAAACCAACGGATATATAATTCTTAACCTTTTTTTGTGTGTAATAATCACTAATTGAAAATAGTTGAAAAAATACGACGTGCAGACACATCTCCAATAATTTCACTAGCGCTTATTAACTTATTGCATAATTTTAACAAAAATAATTATAGAATAAAGTATTTTTCTCGCCTATTCATTATAATGTCCAGTGTGGAATTCCATACTGGAAATATCGAGTCTGTAGTACACCCATTCGAACTTCTGCGAGGTGCACACTGACCGATGGACTGCCTGGAGAAGAAATTTTCAATCCCTTGAGATAATTTTCTAACTGAAGAACTTCAGCAAATACTCTAGATTTACAACTTTTATAAATTTTTAAATAAGTCTAAATATACTGTTTAATTACGTACTGATTTGTTTTGCATTATTCCGATGGCGAATTAAATTTCCTCTTTTGATCAAAATATATACACGTCAAGGGTCTCTCGTTTACAAATTCCCAATTAGATAGACTAAAACAGCGATCTAGAATGTAGAGTACACATAATAGAAATACAGCCTGGTTTGATGAAATTGCTTTTGCCTGTGGCAATCAATACAATTTGATGTTACTCTCTGATGGAACTATAGTGTCAAAGCAGCTTTGAATCAAACAACTCATTATTACCAGAATATTGTAACATAGCGTGATAAATAATAATTAAACAGAGAAAATATTTAATACAGTATGTTATTTACTTTTTTTAAGTAGAAGAAAAAACTTTAATTTATTNCATAACTCATTCATTTATCGCCTCTGTCAAGTTTTTGATTGATGTTCTGTGACAAAACCAACGGATATATAATTCTTAACCTTTTTTTGTGTGTAATAATCACTAATTGAAAATAGTTGAAAAAATACGACGTGCAGACACATCTCCAATAAAATGGCATCTTCAGATTTTATGGACCTTGTACAAGAAGCTGAAAAACTTACGGCAAACATAGAAGGTACTTCAGAACTTCCAAAAGTAGAGCGGTCTTTGCGACAAGTTTTAGAAGCATCAAATGAGCTCTACTCTAAAGTTGCCCAAGCAGGTGCTAGGGACATTCAAGCGTAAGTTCTTAAAAAGTAGCTGTGTTTAGTCATTACACATTTAGTGTTATTTTTACAGGAACATTTTGTTAGGCTCAAAAGGAGTTGATCTCCCTCGTATAGCCCAAAAATTGGAAAATATTAGTGCAAAACGTACATTCGAACCTATTGCAGCAACTGATGATAGTGACTTGCAGACTTGCTTAGAAAATGAAATTAGAAGTTGCATTCTAAGTGTAATTGATGCAGAACATAAAGCTGTATGTGATACTATTTTCACTATATGTAATTTATGTAAATTATATTTTCTTTTTAGTGTCTAGAAACTGTGAGTCAACATTCTTGGGAGCATGAATTAGGAGAATGGAAAGAAGAAAAAAGAAAGATTTTAAATGCTATGTTAGGTCCTTCAGAGAACTTTATAGACATTGGGAAACATACTAGTGTTTTTATGGAACCTCCAGCTTTAGGAGCTACAGCTTTAGGCTATTATGAGTCAGTATATGCATCCAAAATCATTGAATACAATAGAGCGATTATTAGAGGAACATTTCGACCTCATCTTGTAGAATCATTGATTAATGCTGCATCAGAATTTAAAGAAACAGTAAGTCACTTCTTATTAGTTAATTTAGTTACATACAAAATGACCTTTCTGTAATGTTCTCCTAATGTTATTTGTTTTTTATAGAAAGTTAATGACATGTGGGAAATGATAAAATATATGATTCAAGTTCCACCTTTCCCATCTACTGAGGATCCATTAAAAACAAGAAACAGTCCAAGAATCATTAAAGCTCTTGTTAAACAAGCCTGCCATTACCTCGAAGATAGGTACATCCTTTTTTCCCTTTTCTTTGTATATAAATTTTGCTATATTTTTTTTTATATATAGATATAAAATATTCATGGAGAGTGTCTTAAATGAAAACTTGAAACAGGCACAACGAGGAGGAATCCCTGGAACCTATTCTTTAGTTAGAAGTTTTGTTGGAATTCGTTTAAAGGGAGAATATTTGGGGTTACAAGATGGAATGATTGATGATCGACCTCTCTGGCCAATGGTGTATTACTGCCTTCGTAGTGGAGACCTAAGTGCTACATTGTACTGCCTTAAAAAATCAGAGTAAGGAAATTTATTAGTGGTAAAATTATGTTACTGTGTATTTTTTGTTACAAGAACTAACTTTTAAAAAAATTTATTTAACCAAATTATTATTTATGTTACAGTTTACATTGCCCCGAATTGATAGAGTTATTAGAACTTTTATTTACTAGTCCTGAGAATTCACAAATAGCAAAACTCGAATCAAACATTAAATTCCACTACAGACGTTTCGTTCGTAATTCAACAGACCCCTTCAAACGAATTGTCTGGGCCGTATTGGGATGTTGTGACGTCGTTGACGAACATACTGAAGTTGCTAAGACCGCTGATGATTATCTTTGGCTGAAATTAAGCCTGGTCAGAACTGATTATGATAAAGAAGATCACATCAAATATTTTGATTTACAGGTAAACATTTCTTTTTTTTTTTTCCTTTTCCAAATCTAATATACCAATTTTTGTAGACTACTGTCTTAGAAGAATATGGAGAAAGTCATTATGATGCCATGAACCAACCACACCTTTATTTTGAAGTTTTGGTACTGACTGGTCAATTTGAGGCAGCCCTGGAGTTTCTTGCTCGTATTGAAAAGTTCAGGGTTCATGGAGTTCATATTGCCATCGTTTTAAGTGAGTTACATATGCTAGCAGCCCCGAGAGATCCTGCTGCTCCTCTCAGTAAGTTATTAAATTGAATTAAAGTGTGTAAACTTTTAGAAGTAGTGACTTGATGAAACATATTTAAAATAATTGATCGTTTCAACAGAATTTATCAACTTAATATTAAATTAATCTATATTTCATTAGAATTTATTTCATCTATTTGTTTCTTTTTAGTTATAAGATTTTGCTTTATTATTTTAAAACAGTTTTTAGTTGCAATAACTGTATTAAAAGTATGTTTTTCTTTTAGTCTCTATTGATCCAATGGATATAAAACCTGGCCGACGTTTGAACATGGCAAGACTTATAATGTTATACGTTCAGAGATTTGAGCTAAGTTGTGTGGCAGAAGCAGTACACTATTTCTTCTTCCTGCGAAACTTACGAAGCAAAGACAATGTAAACTTGTTCCTATTAAGTGTAAGCGACTTGGCACAAGAAACCAAGGATTATGAAGGTTTGTTTGGAAAAATGCAGCCTAATAATGTACGAAGTAAGGGAATGATAGACGAATTCAAAACTGCCGGAATTAGTACTGAAAGTCTTGTAGAAGTTGTTGCGGAACAGTGTGTCAAAAAAGGCGTTTTCGAAGAAGCTGTGGACCTATTTGATCTCGCCGGGGTATAAATACTTTTTTCCTAATATTTTTTGTTATATATTTTATTTCATAATTGTAAAATTTCAGAATCAAGAGCGAGTCCTTAATCTCCTATGTATTTTGTTGGCTCAAGTGGTACATCTTCCTAGTAAAGATGGATCTTTAAGGGAAAGATTAGAGGCAAAAGCTCACAACATTGCTGAAAGATATTCCAGAAGCGGTTTTAACTGCTCTTCCCAAGTTGCATCCACCTTTTTAGTTCTAAAAGATCTATTAACTTTCTTTGACCAGTATCATGCCAAACAGTATGTAGCTGCATTGAAGGTTAGTAGAATTTACATTATTAAAGTATTTCATATATTATTAATTATACTTATTTTTACTTTTTTGGAAATATTTTATTGGTATGACTCAGTTCTTTACCACGAATAATTAAATTTCAGACATTAGCTGATTTAGAATTAATACCTTTAAATAGCAATGAATTGGATTTACGAGTTTCTGGATTTAAAAAATTATCCAACGAAATTTCCAAAGTGATTCCTGACGTTCTTTTAGCAACAATGAATATTTTATTTGCACAGTATCAGAAGATTAAAGGCAATGAGTATATGCCTTCCAAGTTTCAAGGAATTTCTGTTGATAAGGTACGCATGTTGGCAAAAATAAAAACGATTAACCCTAACATCTTATTAATATGTCTAATAGGTAACTCAAATTCAGTAAATATCTATTTTATAAATAAAAGGTAGATATTTCTTAATCTTTTATTTATGAAAATTAATAATTGTAAACCTTACATTTTTAAATAAATATTGAGAAAATAAAAATATTGTTACAGCAACTACAATACATTCGAGATCAAGCCAGGGTGATAACTAATTTCACAGGAATGTTACCATATAGGATGCCAGGAGACACAAACAGCAGGTTGGTTCAAATGGAAATTTTAATGCATTAATTTTCGCTAAAATTTTATAACTATGGAAATTCAGCTTTCCTGTCTTCTCTGTAATAAATTATTTTGGAATTTTCACTGAACAGTGTCAGGTGCACATTTTTTAACTAATAGATCCTCAGAAAAATCAATGGAAGATCCTTCTTTCATCTAAAAAATTATAACTTTTAATTTATATTTTTTATTCCATCAGTGTTATCCAAATTATGTAAGTGTTTTTTGATAGATTAACCAACTCAATTAAGAAACAGTAAGATGAGGTAAGGCATTTCTATAATATAGCTTAAAGAGTTTGAGGATAGATACTTACACGTTTATAGTCCAAGAACATTTCTTTAAATTCCAGAAAATCAGAAAATGTTGCCAGTATTTCAAATATCTCTCCATCTAACTCTGTCCTTCTTTCTCTAAAACATTACAGTCTATTTGAAATTTAATTGTATATAAATTTTAACAGTTTGTAATAATTGTTAAGCATACATAAGCTCTTCCTCAAAATTTTTCATGCTGAAGTTGTCGATCTTCTCCATTAGCTTCTTTTCAATATACTTCTCAATTGTTTCTTGGTATGAATAGAATATATCGCTATATATTAATTTATTTTCTTCATCACTGTCAAAGTGCTTCCAGTATTTTTCCATGAAACTTGTAAGAATTTCAACAAATGTCGTATCCATTATAATCTCTTCGATGTAACCAATCACTGCATGAAAACTTTTATCAGATTCTTCTGAACACTCGTGGAAAAAACTAAACATATCTATATCATCATCCTTTACAATTTGGGAATCCACTAAAGTGAATTTGTTCTTGCAAACTTCTATATTTGAACTCATTATTGGCGATTTAAAGAGCATAAACATAAAATTTCATTTAATCAATATTAATATATTTGTATCCATGACGACCTAACTGGTTATAGACAAAACACAATTACGTTATTATTGCAATACTTTTCTAGTTTAGTTTTCAAAAGAATATTACCAATATCGCAATTAATTACACTTTGATTTTTACACATAACCAGAAACTCTACTGTAGTCTACAGTTGATGGCAGTTTATGTGCTTTAATTTTACTCGGTATGCTTTTGTGGCGGTTTAAGCCTTTTAATAAATTTCCAACCAAGTTGAGTAGACATCCCTCAAAAAAAAGTAGCACATAACTGTGGAGTAGCATACTCAATACTGATTTAAAGAACAACTTTGGCTTTCCTTTTCTTTTCGATTGCATGTTATTTACAGATATAATTCCAGAACTCCGAAAACACACACAAATTATATTAAAATTGATTATAATTTGTAAAATTGTAAACAGAAAAGTTGGGTTATATAATATCAATGTTCCAAATATACGCCTACCATAGAATAAAAATACTAAATAATTTCCATAAATTTAAGCCAATATTCCTAATAATAACTGCAGTGATTTATTAATGTAACTATTATATTAATTTTCCATGATAATTACTAATACAATAAAGCTATTTGAATATAAACTTAAGATAGCAATACAAAATGTAGAGATTTATA